ATTTTATCCCTTAAAACTCATCCTTGAACACCAAAATGGCATATTTAAGCGTTTTTCCTGTAAATATATTTGCCCTACAATAGATTGAATGAAACACTACAACCTTGATTCATTTAGTATACGCTGATCTATGAATATGCAAATTAGCCCCATCTCCACTGACTCACAACGTTAATGAATATGATTTTTTGTAGTTTTGTAGTAGTAATGTAGTTTTGCTTGGCTACATTATCAAACAGCTAATAATGCTGCTAATGTTACACAAACCATGTTCCCGTTCGCCATCTCAGTCTGCCTTCTAAAAATCAGCATCCTTAGAAACGCTTTGAACAACTTAGAAAGTCAGTGGAGAAAGGGATATAGTTCAGCATAACATCGTAATATACCTCTTATACATAATTTACCCGCTATATTGCTAAATGTTCACAATTATTCCCATCAAAAGAAAAATATAGCGGGATAACCTGGCTTCTCTTGAGACTCCCCTGCTTTGCAGATAATGATATGCTAAAGCCCGCCGGCACGTTGAAGTGATTGGCTACAAAGTAGTTTGAGACGTACTGTAAGAAACACCGGTGATTTCAAACTGCGTTTTTGAGACTGCAGTTTTAAGGAGAAAATATTCAGCAATGGTGTTGACTTATGATTTTGCACATGGGTTGTCTTAAAGCATATCAAAAACACCACATAGATTAAAAACACCACATAGACATACTATAAACAAAATTAAAAACTTGATTTTCACCACAGGGGGTCTTTAATGTTAATATTTTTTTTTATTTGTTCATAAAATTCTTTTAATTTTATTTTATACAATTTTATTTTATTTTTATTTTATTTTAACAACAACACAAAAAATTTCAAATAGGATTATTAAATTTAATAATAATAATAATAATATATTATTAGTAGTAACAGTAATCATTGTATTATTATTATTATTATTAATAATAATACAAATATACTTTGATTTTTTTTTTTTTATGTTATCAAATAAGGGAGAAAGGCACTGCTTATTCAATAACCTTTTCCAGAACATCCCCACTGAGAGATGTGATTTGATCACTGGAAACAAATATTTAGAAAAAAAAAAAAGAATCTATCAAATACAGGGAAAACATTTTTTTCCCTAACCTTTTCCAGAACATCTCCACTACATCATCAATCAATAAATCAATCAATTAATCATTGAAAAAATATATCAATTCTAGCAAATGGAAATATATTGCTAAAAACACAAAGAAAAAAAAAAGATAATTCCTCTGTGGTGGATCAGTAAGAAAATCCATATGGTTGAGCCCTGGATTTTATATTGGGATTCCAATTTAAGTCTCAAGTCAAGGGTCTGAGTCTAAGTTGAGTCTCATAATTAATTTGCGACATGCACAACTCCAAGTTCAAGTCTCAGAGCAGAGTTCCTTCCTCTGCCATCTAGAAACACAGAGAACAGTATAAGGTAAATATGTGCATTCGGTGTATAGCTTGGACTCCATGACTGATTAAATTGGTTCACTGACAGATTAACAACAGGATGACCTGACTTAATCAAACAGCCAGCCGCATCAGTAGCGTACATGACCCACGGATCTTCAGACAAGCCTGCAATGTTTCCCTAACCTTTTCCAGAACATCTTCTCCACTACATCACTGGCAACAATAAAAATAGCCGCGCCATCCAGCCAAGCATTAAGAACGACGGCAGCGGGTGGTCCAGGGCCGGTTCGACTCACTCCCACCCCCCTCCAGCTTCCTGGGTCCTGATTGATCTCACGGCCCATCGGCGGGTTAAATTACACTGCAGAGTGGCTTTGCGGAGAGACAAAGGGCCCGGGATTTCACAGGCCATAATTCTTTCCGGGCCTTAACTTTGAAAAGGTGCAGCATTCAATTTCAGCCCTCGGCAACACTTTGCATTCGCTTATGAGTTATGACACAGCCATGACGTTTTTAACTTACTATACGGCCATGCTGAGGAGACCTGCCTTCCAATCAGGCCGAAGGGAGGATGGGGGGGGAAAACATTCTCTGTCAGCACCGAGTATCAGTAATAGCGACATGTAATACAGTAAATAAAAGTGGCCCATCTTCTGGGTGAAGCTAAAGACGAGTTGGCTTCTTTCCACATCCTACTTGCCGAAAGCATTGAAGTAAAGTCGGAAATGAAATGATTTACATGTACATTCATGTTTGTATCTCAGTCCAAAATGACATCCAGGCTCCCATAGTTTCCTGGCACATAGGGAATGGAGAGGAAGCCCAGGGAATGGCAGAGGCCTTTTGATACTGCAACTCTGCCGAACCAGCAACTCGGAAGCCAGGACAGCATGAGATCCGGAGAAAGAAAAAAAGAAAAACAGCCAAAGCACAAAAAGACCAGCTGCTTCGAGATCATGGGCGTCAGCGAAAAAAAAAAAAAAAAAGTCTTGTTAGAGAGAATATAATTGAACTTGTCTGGCAAGTAATAGCTTTTCCTAAAACTTCATGCATCCATTTAATGCTGATGAAAATATACAGTGAGGTAAATAAATATGCAACTGAAACTAATCTAAAGTGGTTTAAGAGATATAAGTCCTCATCGATGACATTTGCAATTTACTCTAGCTTAAGAATCTGCCCATATTTATAATCATACTATATGTGATAAGCACAGCTTTCCAAGCCAACAGCTAAAAAAAGGCACCATGCTAAAATGTAAATCCGGATTGCCTGACAGGAACATTTCAAGACACTCAAACTGCCAGTTAAACAACCTCCAAATCTAAGAACATACTAGATCTAAAAGTCACAGTTCTTTATAAGTCAAGCATTAAGGCACGTCTCACTTCTCAGGAGGTGCAAAGATTTAGAAATAATATCAAATCAGCAATATGAAACCGCTGAGTTGTTTTAGAGTAAGCATGAGGGGCAGCTAAAAGTCAATGGCAATGTCATTGAAATTTCCTTCTAAAATGCAAAAAGTTGCAATAGTCTGTAAGGTTCAATGAATTTCTCGATTAGCATAAGATATGCTATTTGCATCTTAGGATTGTGATGTGATCCACTTTACAAGGACTGCAGGACACGAGATGCTATGTAACTTGACAAATAAATGCTCAGTTAAATAAAGGCAAAATCTTTCAGACCTTCTATGTTCCGATAACACGTCTGTGTTAATTGAAGATTCGTTTTTTGTTTGAACAATCATTCCTTCTTTATTCCACATTTGGAAACAGGCCAACAAGGCGGCAAAGGAATAATGGTGTTAATTAAGACACCTGTTCTTCTGTGAATTTACTCGTTGCTTCCAATAACCCTAGATAATAATAAATGCTCTACATTTCAAAATTGCCTAATAAAGAGAATATACAAAGGTATGACGTGCTTGTAAACAGACGGTAGTGCAGTTAATCAAATTGATTGGAAATGTCTTTACTATTGGCCAGCTGTTAAAGTGCTGGAGACAAGTTCAAGATCTGTCAAACCATGGGCCGGTATTGATGTTTGCACCACATCAATCTCACACAGCACCCATTCACATCGACGCACTGAACTGGATGAAGACCTAAGCAGTTTTTGTCTGCTGTGCTCTGTAGAATTAGACCTGAATCATACTCTAAGCAAGTATATTAACGCTAATACTTCTAGCTACTTGATTTCACACATGAGTGCATCCTGGATTGCAAGTCCAAACTTTTACAGTCGGTTTTCTCCTTCAGGTCAACCACTGTCATGACAGTTTTTTAGAATAGTTTCTATAAGAAACTATTCTATAATAGTTTCTTATAGAATTGTGTTAACAAACAACTTTTTGTCTTCTCTCTATTCTGATAGTAAGACGATTCAAAATTCAGTTTAAACTAATATTTTACCCCCAAAATTAAAATGCTGTCATTATTTACTCATCCTTATGTTTTCTCAAACCTGTATGACTTTCTTAAGTGGAGCACAAAAGAAGATATGAAGAATGGTGGTCACCAAAGTTTTCATTACCACTGTCTTTCTATTGTAAAAACGCAAGATATTTCTCAAAATATATGTTGTGCTCCACAGAGGAAAGACAGGCATACAGGTTTGGAACAACATGAGGGAGAGTAAATGACGACAGAATATGAATTTTTAATAAATATTTATTTATTTCTGCCAAATTTTTTCAAATATAAACATTAAAGGTGGAATGTGTAATTTCCACGACACTAATGTCAACAAACATTTTGTTTTAAAAGCTTCCGAAAACACTCCTATTAAACAGATCATCCCGCCCCAAACTAACGTCATTGGTTGAAAAAAACTTGTTTCAAGTTTGACGTTTACACTTTTTCAGAGAAATCAAACTACGAATGGCTTACCATAGGTATTTTAGCATAAACATTTTTTGTTGTATTTTCAAAAATGACTATCCACAGCAGAGCACAAAACTTAAAACATGTCGACCAAGCATTTGTGTAATGCATGGAGTAATGTTTCTGGCCTTACTGACCATATTGAATGTTTGAATACCTTATTTGAATCAGTCAGTCCAGTAGTAACATCATGACATTGGTAATCCTAGAGCTGCAAAACCATCTGTAAGTTTACTTGAAACACTTCACCATTGAAGAACTCTGACACACAGAAAATAAACTGCTGCAGGGGTCAAGGACAACACAGAGGAAACGTGTGAAGCTAAAGTACACACTGGGTTTGTGGCACGGAGCATCGGTTTTCCAGCATAGCCGGTGGGCATTACAACGCTTCAGATAAAGTCTTAGATAGAAGAAGTGATAAGCACTCTGTGTGAACTGAGTTTGGGCTCGAAAACAGTGACCTCACAGATTCTAATCCCTCATCTCTCTTTGCACGCTTCCCTCTGAGAGGAACTGCCAGAGGGGAAAACTTGAAAGCTAAAGAGAGTGAGGGAGGGTGCGTGAGAAAGAGCGTGTGTGAGAAACAGAGACGAAATGACATGCGAAGAGGAAAGAGTGTACAGAAGCAGAAAGAAGAAAAAAAAAGCACAACAAAGTCATATTTAGGTGCTGGCTTACCTGCACACAGTTCACAAGATGGGACGGTGAAGTGAGGATAGTCAAAGGGGTTGTGGGAGGAGGGTCCGGTCGGGTTGATCCAGCCGCTGACGGGTGGTCCGGGAGGGAGGAAGGAAGGATGGAGTGACAGGGAGCAGGGAGACGGGGAGGCCAGAGGGGGGATATGAAGCACTAGTCCTCTGTCTTTCTCTCTTTATCCCTCTGGCACAGAGGCATAGAGGCAGACACCAGTACCTGCAGCCACTCAAATAATAGGAGAGAAAAGAGTGCTCACATCCACACACGCTCCAGCACAGAGAGGAAAGAGAGAACGCCCCTCCCACTCCCTTCCAGGACCCAATCGCACACAGACTTCACCGGCAACGAATAGGAGCGCAGGCAGCCGGTGCCATGCCCTAGCCAATAAGTGCAATTGCTCATATCCAGTTGGAATAATTAGTCCGAGAGCAGCTTCCCTTCTGAAGGACAGACAAACGGGCGCACTTACCCAATAAGTGTGATTTAAGACCGCATCCGACATTAGAGTAATTAGATTGTGCCGCACTTAACCTAGCAGAATAACATTGCATGCTCCACTGCAGAACTGGCAGAGACGCAGGCTACACAGGAAGGGCTTTGGAAAGGTGCAATGATGTTAAGTAGGCAGAAATAATGCTTATATATAGGAGTATAATAATACACAATATCAATGTGTATTATTATCACACTGATACTTCCAGGCTTTCAGGTGCACCAAAAAACTATCATGTAATACACATGAAATTGGACTAAAAAAAGAATCATTATGAATTCCTGTGTTTTTAATTAATATTTTTTTTTTAAGTTTTTGTTCTTGTTATGCATATTGTCACATACTGTAAACTTGTTGATTTAATTTTAAGAACTGATCAAATACCATTATATATACAGCTCTGTGGTTTTACTATTTATAGGTATGTGTTTGGGTAAAATTAACATTTTTTGTTTTATTCAATAAACTACTGACAACATTTCTCCCAAATTCCAAATAAAAATAGTCATTTAGAGCATTTATTTGCAGAAACCAACAACTGGTCAAACTAACAAAAAAGATGCAGTGTTGTCAGACCTCGAATAATGAAAGGAAAATAAGTTCATATGCATTTTTAAGCAACACAATACTAATGTTTTGACTTAGGAAGAGTTCAGAAATCAATATTTGGTGGAATAACCCTGATATTCAATCACAGCTTTCATGCGTCTTGGGATGCTCTCTCCACCAGTCTTTCACATTGATGTTGGGTGACTTTATCCCACTACTGGTGCAAAAATTCAAGCAGCTCGACTTTGTTTGATGGCATGTGACCATCCATATTCCTCTTGATCACATTCCAGAAGTTTTCAATGGGTTTCAGTCTGGAGATTGGGCTGGCCATGACAGGGTCTTGATCTGGTGGTCCTCCATCCACAACTTGATTGATCTGGCTGTGTGGCATGGATCATTGTCCTGCTGGAAAAAACAATCCTCAGAGTTCCAGCAGGACAATTCTCCATGCCACACAGCCAGATCAATCAAGGTGTGGATGGAGGACCACCAGATCAAGACCCTGCCATGGCTAGCCCAATCACCAGACCTGAACCCCATTGAAAACCTCTGGAATGTGATCAAGAGGAATATGGATGGTCACAAGCCAATAAATGTGAAAGTTGTTTTCTGCAAATAAATGCTCTAAATGACAATATTTTTATGTGGAATTTGGGAGAAATGTTGTCAGTAGTTTATAGAATAAAACAAAAAATGTAAATTCTACCCAAACACATACCTATAAATAGTAAAACCAGAGAAACTGATAATTTTGCAGTGGTCTCTTAATTTTTTCCAGAGAGAGAGAGAGAGAGAGAGAGAGAGAGAGAGAGAGAGAGAGAGAGAGAGAGAGAGAGAGAGAGAGAGAGAGAGAGAGAGAGAGAGAGAGAGAGAGAGAGAGAGAGAGATAGAGAGATAGAGAGATAGAGAGATAGAGAGAGAGAGAGAGAGAGAGAGAGAGATAGAGAGATAGAGAGATAGAGAGAGAGAGAGAGAGAGAGAGAGAGAGAGAGATAGATAGATAGATAGATAGATAGATAGATAGATAGATAGATAGATAGATAGATAGATAGATAGATAGATAGATAGATAGATAGAGAGAGAGAGAGAGAGAGAGAGAGATAGAGAGAGAGAGAGAGAGAGAGAGAGAGAGAGAGAGAGAGAGAGAGAGAGAGAGAGAGAGAGAGAGAGAGAGAGAGAGAGAGAGAGAGAACCATTCAAAAGTTTGGGGTCAGTACGATTTTTTTTTTATGAAACATTTACTTTAGTTCAGCAAGGACGCTTTTGTTTGATCAAAATTTATATTTTTTTCGAAAATGTTACTTTTCTATTTCAAATAAATGCTGTTCTTTTCAACTTTCTATTATTCAAATAATCCTGGAAAAAAATCATGGTTTCTACGAAAATATTAAGCAGCAACATTGATAATGAGTCATCATGAGCACCAAATCCCCATATTAGAATGATTTCTGAAGGATCATGTGACACTGAAGAATGGAGTAATGATGCTCAGCTTTGCCATCACAGGAATAAATTACATCTTAAAACATACGAAATAGAAAACTTTTTTATTGCAATAATAACAATATCACTCTATTATTTTTACTGTATTTTTGATCTAATAAATGCAGCCTTGGTGAGCATAAGAGACTTTTAAAAATCTTACAGACCCTAAACTTCTGAACAGTTGTGTAGTTCCTATATTTATATATTATGTGAATAACATAATATAAAATCATCTCATATAATGTAATATAATATAATAATGTAATGCATAAGGATGACAGTACATTTTTTAATTGGCTATAAAAAAACGCCATCTTAAAGCCATCCTGTGGCGGCAAATATAGCCTGTTAATCGAAAATATAATTTCTCGGAATGCACGCATTTCATAAAGACCGTTTTCTGTTTTCCAGATCGATATTCTGGCTCAGGTCTAGGCTTGAGAAATGATCAATGGCAAACTGTTAGAATGAAGAATGAAAAGCACATCGGCCAGCACGATCCCCTTCACATCAGGAAGGACCGATGTGGGGACAAGAGACTTAATAATGTCCTATTAACAACTGCAAAAAAGGGACCACTACATGCTTTCAGGATGACAGGGCGGCGCTCAAAGTGGCGAAACTTCTCTTAGCACCCAATTCTACTGACATCCAAGCGACGAGGCATTATTTCAGGGTCAGGGCTCCTAAGCCGTTCTCACTTTCTCAGAAGAATACGCACTTCTGCTCAGTGAATCTTATGCAGCGGTGAAATCGATGCACCTATCGATATACCGTGCATCATAACATGAGCCGATATGCAAAGCATGAGCAAGCACAAACCTATGATGATTCAGCAGGGGTTCCAAACACAGCCCTCCCAGATATCAGCGTGTCAGTATTTACGAGTAAAGCAGCTTAAGCATGAAGCTGACAGCGACGGTGAAATGTGCTATAGACTCTGGCACGCTACAGAGCGTAGGGTTTCCTCCAAGAGGACTGGGTGGGAGAGGACGGCCCATAAAAAATTCATGAGCAACAGGAGGAGATGTCACATCAGATATGTTTCCAGCTGCAGAGATGCCGGTGTGTGGAGACCCTTAAGAGTGAAAGGTACAAGTGAATTCAGGTCTAAGAGGAGAGAAGTAAGGGGAAAAAGCACTTAACTTCCACCGCTAAACCTGCCAAAACCATTGCTGCGATGTGCCAGCAATTACAGAGATTTAGACATAAATCCATTGATGCACAAGAGATTTAATGGCTTATGTATGGCTTGATGTGTAAATATCCACAATCACTATAAAAAAAACAAGCATTTATTTAGCCTGTATGGCTGTCATCACACTTACTGCCCCAGTGATTTACATTTAGTCTGAGACACAGATCTGTTTCATTATAAAAGCATTTACAACAATGGGGTTTTGAGAGCATGGCATTCCACTGCCTTAGTCTACAATTTCAGAAAAGATATCTCATCAAATATTCATTAATTCTGGGGTACAATCATGCTTTAAATGTCATGCTTAGCAGGGGAGATGGGCTCCGCTTATAGGCAAGAGGATTTATAACATGTGGCACTTATAAGTGGATGTCATTATACTGGGGTTTGAGGTCTTTAAACAGTGACTGACAATAAAAACAAACAAATGAATTCATCAAGCACAAATAAATTGAGGTTTTGTTGTTTAAAATAGAGCAAATAATTAGTTATTGGCCTGTGACATTTATATATAGAAAAATATAAATGGTTTAATTCCAACTCAGGCTCATTGGAAAAACGTGCCTGTGGAGAAATTTCTACATTTACATTTAGAAATTAAATCTCCAGCCTGGCACTAAAAGGGTTCATGCGTTTGAAATAACTTATCACCTACAATAAACCCTACATTAAACCTAAACAATAGTGCCAACAAAGGCAAATGTGAGATAAAAACGCATTTGCTCAACCAGTTTAGCTTGCTTCTAAAAGTCTTTAATCTGTTTTATCGTGACTCGTATCCGTATATTGAGCAAGTGCAATGATGTACCAGGTGAGCTACCAAGCAAGTTTACTATATCAGAAAAGCCAAGATTAGCTGATTATGTGATGTAAACTTTACACAAATTTACCATGCAAAAGTGTTTTAGGGTCATAAAGTATTTTGAAAAGAATAAAAAATAAGTCTTTATTGACTGATTATCTGGCCTGTAATCATAATTTGTGTGAACACAAATAAAAGTTGTGGTGTTTTACTGCTACTAGTGTTCATTTCAGCTGGAAACTGCAATTGTGTAGGTACGTTTTTACAAATATGTAGGTACACTCAAAAAGAAAAGCCTGTTTTTAAGATTTGCTATTTTCAATTGTATAGTACGATTCCATCAAATTGAATTAAATCATATTTATATATTATTCAAATTATGAATTAAGAGTTTTGAATGAGTAAAAAAAACTAGAGATTAATAGAACATTTTGTATAAATCTTAATGGAACATTTCAGTTTATGTGATTCGTATTTTAAAAAAAATATACATTTATGAATACAAATCATGAAAAGTATAATAGTACAATTAACTCAAATCATCTCAAAAGATGAGGGGAAATTTGATTCCTAATGACATGACTGCTTTAATGATGTATTTAAAATACATTTTCATGGTCGGTAAAAATATTTATGGATTGTAAATCGTCTCAGTTCATTTTGGACCCTGCTCATATGGTTTAGTAAACTTCAAAATCTGTAGATTGCAATGACTACGATATCATTGCTAGTTCAAC